CACTTCCATGGAGACTGGGTGGGTGGACGCTGCGGCAGCATTGTGATTTTCCATTGGCTGAATGGTCTGTAGGCTGAATTTGAGGAGACGTTACCCTTCATGTATGGTTTTGATATAAAAATAGGTCCCTATTGTCACTTTTATAATTTTGATAATAGTATCGTCAATTCACAATGGTTAGGGGTCCACAATCGGACAATGGTATGTTGCCCACAATCTCAAACCCTAAAAATGGCCAGATTTGGCAGTAAATTCTCCAAATTGGCAAAAACGCTGCTTCTAAGCCCGTGGGCTGTTCCAGTCCAATTGTGATTGGTGCTCAGGGATCAGCGCTTGGCTACTCCTATCTGTTTTCAGCTCTCCCGTTCCCTCTTTCTGTCGCCTTTCAGCTCGCCAGGCTGATTTATGGGTTAAAGCAAAAGCAGCACTGGCCCTGTGAGAAAGTTAATGAGCCACCAGCGCGTAGGAGGACAAGCATGATTATAGCAGGAACACAGCTGTGGGCTGTGAGTCTGTGCTTGTGTGTGTGTGTGTGAGTGCTTGTGTGCACACCTGTGGTGGAGTGTGTATGTGGCTATGAGTGAGTGTGTGTGTGTGTGTATGTGTGTGTCAGTGTGAGTCAGAGGGCTGCAGTAGATGTTTATGGTCTGTCTGTGACTATAGACGCTGCAGTTAAAGAGGACTCTGTGGTAAATGAGTTGTGCTAAATGAGGGTGCTGTGGGTTACGGAGATGAGCTCTGGAGCCCTGTGGATTCAAATACCAATACATACTCTCACAAACCAATTTATGCAATTAGCTTAAATGCTTCAGCAAAGTGCTCTTTTTTTTGTTGCAAGAATCAGTTATGAAAGAAAGAACCCTCATAGTAACACTGCAGGCATCATGTATGTGGTCTGTTCATAGAATGAAAGGAGACTTCCACCAAAGTTTCAAAATGTATGCTTAATTAATTCATTCAGATGTTAGTCATTCAGAGTGGATTGATGTGAAAATGATCCATTCTAGAGAAATTCTACTTCTTCTTCTTCTTCATATTATCATTATTATTATTATAAAGTGACGTCAAGTTGTTTCTGATTCCTGATGACCATATGGGTAGTGTTTCTCCAGAAAGTCCTGTCTTCTGGGCCTTCAGGCTTCTGAATGGCTGGTTCATGATTCCTCTGACTGCATCCCTCCATCTTGCTCCTGGTCGTTTTCTTCCTCTTTTACCTTCAGCACTTCCAAGTATAACTGTTTTTTTCCCCAATGAATCAATTCTTCTCAGAATATGTCCAAAATAAGACCTTCAGTTTGGTTATCTGGGTATTGAGTGAGAGGTGAGGCTTGATTTGCTGAAGAATCCATTTGTTTGTTTCTTTTGTCATCTAAGGAACTCTCAAAGTTACCAAGTCGGAATTTACCCTTTTCGCACTTCTGTGTTCGACGCAGTGGAAGTTGTCAAAGTAGGGAAAACATTACAGCAGTGGCAGCGTTTACAAATGAAAATGAAGAAGACTCACACATTTTTACAAACAGTTTGTCATTTTCAGAGATTATCAAACTTGACAAGGTCTACATTAAAAGTAGCCTGCTGACACTGCTTCAGCACTGGATGGGTGAGTGGCAGGGCCATAGCTAGACAATACTAACGTCAGAGGTTAGCCTATGGACCATCTTACATGATTACATGGTTACATAGCCAGAGCTCCTCCGTATTGGGAGAAAAAAGCTGTTTGTCAGTTAAAACTAAAAAAATACTTTTGTCTGAAAAGAATGAACTGCATGTGTAACTACCTGGTGATTCAAACATAAATGTATCTGTATCTGCTGGTACCCTATAATCAGAAAACTAATATGTATTTTGTCCTCTCTCTCTGGTCCTTTGCACCAGCTCTCACCTCCTCTGCTGTTTCTGTTTCTTGTATGGTCAGTTCTTGTCCTTTCTCTCCTTCTTGCTGAAACACTACTTAAACTGGAAATGCATGTATAATAACCACCTGGCCATGGACAAACACATCTATGTGAACTAGTACCCCATCTGATCAGAACTCAAATGACCATTTAAAATATATAGTGCAATGGAAATAGCTGATGATCCAGTAGTGTGCTAACATGAAATTCTTCCCCATATTAACCCTTTTCATTCTGCTGTTTTCATGTTGCCTCTTTCTGGCACTTCTCGGCAAAAAGTGTCTAGTGCCTGTATTAAAAAAATGATTAAGGAAGGAAAGCATACAGTAGTAAAATTAGACTTAACTAGCCTGGCTTACTAATGGCAAAACAAGATGAAGTTGGCTTCTTTTTGTCAGCTTCTTATTCAAATTTTCCGTTCCACCTTAAATGGTGCAGTAGTTACATTCAGATGCCTGCATTCTGCTGTGCTATTTAAGGTGGAATGGAAAATTTGAATAAGAAGCTGGCAAATATGAAGCCAACTTAAGCCCTGACAAGTTAACTAGCTAATATCTGCACCAACAATGGCCAACAATGAATGAGCTTACATGACAACTGTGCATGAACTTTTTCTAGCATACATAAATGTAACAATAGCCAGCCTAACACTCAACCCAAACAAGCTATCCTTAGCTAAAGCTTCAGCACAGTTTGATGGGTTACAGTTAAATTAATGTTAGTCTCCACCATCAACTTGTCTAAGATGTTGTTCATCTGTGCAACATCACAAAAGAAAAACACCTCAGTCTTATTTTTCTTATTTCTTTTCAAAGCTGAATTGCAGCAATGCGCTCTGACTACTGTTTGTCTCCCTCCTCTACATTTACATTTACAGCATTTAGCAGACGCTCTTATCCAGAGCGACTTACAAGAAGTGCTTTGTGTGTCTGGAGAAAGTATCTTTGCTAGTTACCAATAGGTTAGAGAGAAAGCCGGTCCTGAGCTCAGATACTGCTAGAAACAAAAAGTCACTGTTGATACCAAGAGAAAAAGAAACAACACAGTCAACACAGAACAGTGCAATACAATACGATACATAAGTGCAGTACAATACATTACAATCAATACTTAACTCAGTGCTCATTTAAGTGCTGTATAAAGAGACAGTCTTCAGTCGGCGTTTGAAGACAGCGAGAGACTCTGCTGTACGGACAGCCAGTGGGAGTTTGTTCCACCACCTGGGTGCCAGTACAGAGAAAAGTCTTGATGCTTGTCTTCCACGTGCCTTGAAGGACGGTGGGTCAAGCCAAGCTGTACTCGAAGCTCGAAGGGCTCGTGGTACAGTTCGAGATTTCACCATTGCCATCAGGTAGGGAAGAGCTGGTCCATTTTTGGCTTTGTAGGCAAGCATTAGGGTTTTAAATCTGATGTGTGCAGCTACAGGAAGCCAGTGAAGGGAGCACAGCAGTGGGGTGACGTGGCTGAACTTGGGGAGATTGAAGACGAGCCGTGCTGCTGCATTCTGGATGAGTTGCAGAGGCTTGATGGCCGCATAGGAAGACCAGCCAAGAGCGAGTTGCAGTAGTCAAGCCTTGAGATGATAAGAGACTGCACTAGCACCTGTGTGGCCTCTCGAGTGAGAAAGGGTCGGATTCTCTGGATGTTGTACAGGAGAAACCTGCATGACCGAGTTAGGTTCGCGATGTGAGTCGATAACGATAACTGGCCATCCAGAATCACACCAAGACTTCTCGCCTCTACAGACGGAACAATCAGAGAGCTCTTTAATGATGTCTCCAAGCTAGCGATGGAGAGTTAATTGGAAAAGAATAAATTTTTTCACTCTAACAAGTCTGGGAATCGAGGTTGACCAGTGACTCTGAGAGTCAAGATGCTTGAAACCAAATCTATTATTATTTATATATATATATTATATTTGATTCATTTTTTAATCTGAGGCTACTGAAAAATCTTCGGCGTTATGGGCCGATAGCCCGGATCTAGTCACGCCCCTGGGGAGTGAAACAGAGTTAAAGAATATAAAAAGCTGTCTGTGATCAGGAGAACGAATGTTACATTATCCATAAATAAGATAAAACTGGATGATGTTACTTTGCTTATCTAACGTTAGATAGATGATCCAGTGAACTGTGCGGACCGGCCGCAGTTGTGTTGAGACTTTTTCACATATTCGTGAAAAAGGCTGAAGGCTTCCTATTTACCAGCTTTTTTTTCAAATTTTCTGGCCCATCTTAAACCGTGCAGCAGTTACATTTTGGTGCCAGCAGATTTCTGTTTCTTATATTTATTATATTACATATACAAACCACATAAAAGGAGACACATGTAGGTTTGCTTGTCATTTTGGATAGTTAATAAAACAGCTGTATTTTTATTGTAGACTTTGTTTTCGTTACTGTAGACATTGTGACTTCTGGTTCCTATCATCACTGCAGTAAAGACGTCAGTCAGTAAGCGTCTCTGTAGTTTCACATCAAACCACTCTGAATCACGAAATAAGAAAAGTTGAAATAAGCAGAAATTTTGAGAAATCACTGGAGTTGTCCTTTAATTTGAATGGATACCCTGGTCTAAATAGATATTCTGAGAAAAAAAATGAAATTATTGAATTATGCAGAAATTAAACAAAAACCTTTAGCGGTAAGTCATGGTTGCCTCATTATTACTCCATTATTATTATTTTTCCACAGTGGTTATAATAACCTGGTGTATTAATACAAAATGAAATTGATATGTGTGGTCATATGTGTCTATATTGAGTATGACTTCAAACATAACTCAGCCAATTAAACACATATGCTGTTCTGGTGATTATATTAACAGACCCACACACCCACACATAGCCACACACACACACACACACACACACACACCCACACACACACACACACACACAGAGGATTCTCTTCATATCATTAAGGCTCAATGAGGCTTATAACACATCATATAAGTGCATAGTCACTTCCTCGTTTCACTTTAATCACATCATATGTCACATTATATGTTACTTCATTACCCACTAAGCTCTTGTGACTCTTGCTGCTCTCAGGCTGTTGTGTCTGAAAATGTGTACGTGTGTGTGGGTGTGTGTGTGTGTTGCAGGTACGGAGACATGGTTCCTAACACTATCGCTGGGAAGATCTTCGGCTCCATCTGCTCTCTGAGCGGCGTGCTGGTGATAGCTCTGCCCGTTCCCGTCATAGTGTCCAACTTCAGCCGCATCTACCACCAGAACCAGAGAGCAGACAAGATGCGCGCGCAGCAGGTACGGAGGGGAGGAGCCTAAATGTGAAATGACTTTTTTTTTTTAAGACAAAAATGTGACTGCAGTTTGATTCTTTTTCTACAACAACATATTTAAACGCTGTGTTTTGTATTGTTTATTTGTGGACGGTGTCAGCAGTATAAAACAAAAGCACATATGTCTTTAAATTTAACATTGAATAATTGCAGCATTTGTTTAAGCCAATTTGTAAAATGAGTGCACCCACTTTTGCAGTGGATTTCCATGTGCATAAATTAGTATTAGTATTATTACTTTCAGTTTTTATTCTTACTGTTAGTTATAGATGATCTTAATTATAGCTTTAGTCAGTTATCTACGGTGACTGACAAGTCCCTATTCATAGTACAATTAAAAACACTTTGCAAACTCATAAACACACTGCAAACACAGAAAACACGTCATCAACATGACTACATCAAAGATGCATTTCACAAACGTGCTGCAAATAAAGAAACACAGTCAACTTCAGAAACACTGCAAAGCCAGTCACAACGCAACGGAAGTGAGACACAACACAATGTCTCAAATATCTCTGGAAGACTCAAAGTGGATGGAATATCTATGATTGAAAACCACTGACAGAATTAGAGAAGACGGTGGACACTCAGACGCTCACATCCTAAGTTCATGGTAACCTGGCTGGCTAGTTTGACATGCCATAGCTATACTATGGTAGTTCTCTGGTATCACTGCTCTAACGTTAACAGCGAATTCCCTTTACGATACAGTGATGTCGGTAATCTGCTCAAATAAAAGTTACTTTTACCAGTAAATGTTTGTGCTGCATAGAATTTAAAAGTCTGACTGGCTCTGTCCTCTCTGAGTGTCTTTGGGGAACATGTCCACTGTGACTGGTTTATCAGTGTTTCTGAAGCTGTATATGTTTCTGCATTTGCAGTGCGTTCATGAAATGTAGCGTTGGTGTCGTCATGTTGATGAAAGCATTTTCTGAGTTTGCAGTGTGTCAACGAATTTGCAGCATGTTTGTAAAGTGCAGCGCCCGTGTTGTCATTTTGATGAAAGTGTTTTTTTTTTGTTTTGTTTTTTGGGTCTTCTCAGCCACTGTAGTTAACCACAAATCAAGTATTTTTCAAAACCTATTTTCAAATGGTACACATGCTACCAGACACCAATGATGAAACATTGCGCACTCACTTTGTGTTCATATTCGTACACAACAGGACCAGTATGACTAAATCATCTTAGCCTAGAGATGACTATGATATTTCATGTGTTGTTTTATAATGGAGACACCCAGTCTCTGGTCTGCGTGCCACAGATGTTCCACTATCAGCTTGCTTGTCCTGCATAAACAGTGTTTGTCCTTTTTAAACAGTGCCATAGATTTAAATAACTAGCCTGATAGCAAGTACTATGTACTAATGGACTGTTTTCTTTGATCTTCAAGACAAGCCCACTAGCTTAAAATATTTGGATGTAAACCAAGAAACTAATGTGATTTCTTTGATAACGTGGACTGTCATACAAAGGACGTCCTCTTAGTTATTCTATTAAAATGCCTTCTACTGAGCTGCAATTCAAGAGAATTATGCTAAGAGAGATTTATTTTCCATGCACAGTAATGCTGAAGAGTTTTCTACAGTGTTTACAAGTGTCTTGGGAAGAATGCAGAATACTGTCCATACTGATTTGATGCAATGCAGTCTACATTTGTTTTTGCTGCGTTTCAATAGCAGACAAGGACCAGTTTTAAAGCAGCCAGAGATCACAGTTATATTGGCTGTTCGCTGCACACTGGGCTGTGTGTGGACCAAATGCTGACGCAGTCGGTTTGAAATGAGGTGTCTTCTGTTTTACAGAAAGTACGTCTTGCTCGGATTCGCTTGGCTAAGAAAGGGACCACCAATGCATTCCTCCGGTACAAAGAAGAGGGAGGCCTGCAGGTAAGTGAGTCTGGGAGTGCGCTTTGATGAAACTGATTCAAGACGCTCTCTGTGGGATCTGAACAAACAGAACAAGTGAACGTGTCGCTGATGTGTTATAAAACCAGGCTAGTGAACTGTGGATACATCCAATCCTGATGTTCCCTTTTGAGAATCAATCTACATATAAAAATAGCTTTTTTTTTCTTTTATTAGTCATTTTACTTTTAATTTTGATCCTAAAAAGGTGGAGAAATGATGATTGAAATAATTGAGTAACACTTTATTTGAAGGCTACCTATGTAGGGACTCATAACCACATGCATAACCATTTAATAATGTAAAATAATACTTGAGTGTTTATAAACAGCTTATACCATTTATCAGAGGATAACGTAAGATGTTTTATGAAGTAAATGACAATGCATTAACATAAGGAGCTTTAACTAATGTGACAGATGTTTAATTAGCATTTTTAACTAGTATTTTTAACTCGCCTTCTGACTTATGAGCGCCATTAGTCACAACAGTGTAATAAATGGGACAAATGTCTGTCACTTTAGTTTAAGGCCTCTTATGCCAATATAGTGTCATAATTCTAAACATCTTGCATTATCTTGCAATTATTGGCATAAGCTGTTTGTACATTTTCAAGTATTCTTAAATATATATGCTTATACATGTGATGTGAAGTCCCTATGTAGGTTGCCCTTCAGCTAAATTAAGATGCACACATTGATGACCCTCAATTATAATCTCCATAGAAAAGCAATGCTAATGGAATTGGGTGCTCTTGAGCTGCTACACCTGAGCCTAAGGTCACCATGCCCAATGCTGGCTTCAGGGGTATAAAGCCCCGTAGCATTGGGTTGTGGGCAGAGGAATTGTGCTCTCTGGATTGATGGAGCTCCATCTAATACTTTTAGGATGAGCTGGAGTAGCTTTTGTGATTCAGAACTAATCATCCAACCCCAGTACCTGCCCTCAGTGCAATCAGATTCTCACAGCAGTGTTATAACATCTGGTGTAAGGCCTTCCCAGAAGAGAAGAGACTGTTATTGTTGTAAAGATATACAATTCCCAATGAATACCTTTGATTTCAGAGGAATTGCTGGTTGAGCTGTTGTCTACAAACCTTTGGACATGTAGTGCATGTGCACTAAAGTGATTGCATTACATTCATGAATCTATGGAAGCACATTCCCACCTTGTAGAGGAGAAAAATGTTTCTTGGATTATTATCCCAAAACCAAAATAATTATTTACTTTCTTGAAATTTAATGTCATTATTTTGAGAGACGAACTCAAATTTTGAGGAAAGAAGTTTTTCTCTCAACATGCTTAGTCAAAATTTAGGGAAAATAAGTCATTATTTCAACATAATAAGTCATTATTTGTAGATATGAAGTCAAAATTTTGTGAAAAGAAATCTATTGTTGACCCTGTAAGTCATTTGTTCAAGCTACTTGGTCAAAAGTTTGAGAAAATGAGTCATTGTATTTGATACAGTCATTATTTTGAGATACTAGGTTAAAGTTCTGAGGAAATAAGTTTTTATTTCAACATGCTAAGTCAAAATTTTGAGTAAATAAGTCTTTTTTTATTAAGTAAATAAAAAATAAGTCTTTATTTTTGACACAGTAAGTCATTTGTTCAAGCTACTCGGTCAGGAGTTTGAGAAAATTAGACATATTTGATACCACAACTCATTATTTTGAGATACTAGGTCAAAGTTTAATGAAAAGACATCATTATGTCAACATATGAAGTCATTATTTTGAGATACTAAATCAAAGTTTTGAGGGTGTAAGTTTTTATTTCAACATGCTAAGTCAAAATGTAGGGCAAAATAAGTCATTATTTTGACATAGTAATTCATGATGTGTAGCTGCTAAGCCAAAATTTTCAGAAAAGAAGTATTTTTGACACAGTAATTCATTTTTTGAGATACTGTGTCAAAGTAAGTCATTATTTGGATATACTAAGTAATTATTTTAAATCACTAAACAATTATTTGAACATAATAAATCAAAATATTGACACGACTGCTGCCAAAAATAGAGAAAACAGTGTAGGTGATTGCAATGGCAGGAATGGTCTTCATTGGTTGTAAAATGCTCCTATATTTTTAATGTTCTGAAAGGTTTCCATTTAACAATAAATGTTACTACACCATAAACAATAAGTAAACAAAAGAGTATGACTTTAAATTGCGTATGTCTAGAAAGCACATCCGGTGATTGATGGCTTCATTATGCTGCTTTTTCATCATATAGGGTGATTATAAGTAGGGTTGTGTTTCTAATAGAAGCCTGACATTTAGAGGCTTCCTCACATCTGAGGCTAATGAGTGTAAATGTGTTGCCTTCTTAAACGTTACTATGAAGCCCCTGGGGGCCTGAAAACATCATTTTCGAGAAAGTATCGCTGTGTGTTGTGGAGACAAAGCCTGCAGCGCATTATCATTTGTGAGAAGTCAGGAAGGCAGCTTTGATGAGACTCCATCATTACGTGCGCTTCCAACTGATACTTATACATGCACACTAATGGCTGCATCTACAGCACCTTCCAAACAAATGGATGGCTTTGCCCCGAAGCTGTGTGTTTCCAACTGAGAAAACATGTTTAGCGCATGTTTCCCACACACAGTCACTGTTTTCATCCATTATAATGCCCACATGGCCTCTCTGTAGAAGCTTTTGTCTGACTGACAGCTATGAGAATTTATTTAAGAATGGAAAAAATCATCTGATGCTCCACAGGGAGGTCCTCTGCTGCTCTGTGGATGTGAGAGGAGCCCAGAATAGCAGAGCTTCACACTGGACACGGATTAAAAATTCATCATAAAGGAGTCCTCTCAGTTAGAATAATATAACTGGCCATCATAATAGACCACAAAGTTATCCACATATGACTCTGCAGAGTTCTGCTGGGACACTGTAGCTGAAGCCATTAGTGTATGCTATGCTGTTTCCTCTTGGATGGTGGGTTTCTGGTCTAACAAGCTCTGCATAAGCTCAGTAGTGGTGTTTGAGCATGAAAAACATGATATTCTACATTGCAGTGAATTCCTGATGGGAATTATGAAAGTAAACTCGCAATTTAATTTTTTTCACTCTGCATCTGCATTAATTACACACAGTAACACTGTTTCCTCATGACAATGACAATCCAAAGTTGAGTATATATCAACCTGCAATGTTAAAAAAAAGCCTAGAAGTCTAGAGTTATTGTTGTTTTGCCATACATTTGATTTACCTGACATACTTCTTTAAGTATGTAATAATTGTGTAATTATATTGTAATTAACATCATGAATTACATTTTCATTTTTATTGATTCTGCTACATTGACAAGTTCTACATTTCTGACAAAAAATGGCAAAAACCTAAAGGATAGTTCTTTTTATTACACATAGAAGCGCTGCTGCCTCTTAACAGTAGGAAACCATCAATTGTTGAAACAGCATGTATCAACACTTAGCAGTTTATATTTGTTATTGTTGTTTTTACCATACACTGACTTATGGTATAAAATTATTCAATTGTCCAATGAATATATAATTACATAATTTATTTCATTGTAATTAATGTAATGCATTACATTGATATTTGTTTTGATTCCCCTTTGTTTTGATGTCAAAAATGACAAAAGTGTTAAAAATATAAAGGATACTTTTTTGTTTGTGCAGTAATTATGTTATTACGTCGTTTATTTCATTGTAATTAACATAATGAATTACATTAATATTTCTTTTGATTCCCCTCAAAATATGTTTCCTACATGTCTAATTTTCTCTGTTTGTTTTGATGTCAAAAATGACAAAAATGATAAAAATATCAAACTTTTTCTTTAATTGCACAGCAAAACTGACTCCTCATAACAAAAAGAAGCCAACTAAGGTTGAACCAGCATAACCTGCTACATTCAAAATAATTATGTTAACCCTTATAAGTCTAAAATTTTTTATTGTTTTTTTGCCATACATTTGATTTGAACTCCAGTATTGTGTTATAATTATGTAATGACACAATTAACTACATAGTAATTAATATAATTGAATTACACTTACATTCAGTTTACAACTATTGATTTTCCTATATTGATTTTCGATTTTTCATTTTTTCATTTTTCATTTTTTGTTGGTTTTCTTCCATTTGTTACAAACACAAATGTGACATGAATTAAAAGACTAGAATCTGCCCTTTTTGACAGAATTGTGAGCTTGTTTTAATGAGCAGAGTGAGAATAATTTGTATAATGCTGCTTGTTTTTGTGATCAGGAACTACAGCTTCTAAGTGTTAATAACAGTTTATATTAATGCCATTTCAGAGTAAAACAGTGATTACTAATGAGCGTTCCAGCTTATCAGACATATCTGGAGTGGCTGTAAGTATTTTGTTGGAGTTTGTTTGTCCATCTAGTGGGGTGATGGATGGTACAGTCTGTCTGGTTAGATATGTGTCCATACTGGGTGGGGCTGGAGGAAGAGCGTGTAGTGGCAGGATGAGAGGCAAATGATGCAGGCAGCTCAGAGATGCTTTGGTATTTACAAAGACAGGGACTTAGTAACGTCAGCTACAGGAAACCTGGACCAAGAAGAATAAATAAAGGGAGGTGGAGAAACAGCAAATCCAGACTGACCCACTTCTGCTCCCCTGACTGCCTTTTCTACAGGTTGGAATGTCTTGGTGATGAATGGCTGTGTTGAAATAGTTATTTGTTGTGGTTCTTGATGTACTGTAAGCAGTGCTTCATTTGTAAATTAAGAGCTTCCAGAGCACTGAGTAGTGACAGATCAATGAGAGGGACAGGTCCAGCAGGTCGATAAGGGGGAGAGGTCAGGGAGGGTATAAAAAAAATGCTTTCAGTTGTACATTTTCCAATAACTTTGGATCTTAGGATTAACAAGTGTTCACAAGGTTTATGAGCAACAGATGTTCTCTTATGTCCGGCTTATACACTCTCATTAGACTGACTTTCAAAAACTCTCACCATTGAGAGATCCATCCATCCATCC